ACATGTGTTGTGAATTTTGCGCTATATAAATAAACTGAATTGAATTGAATTGAAAGTGATTCATAAATGGGTAATTATCGCAGCATGTTACCATTGTGAAATTTCTTTCAGACACTCCGGCTAGGTTTAGGTTTCCTGCTTTATTTTATATAGTTTTTAATATTTTAAATTCAAATATTGTATAGAAAGAAAGAAATGCATGGAAACCATCTGTGTTAGACCGCTGTCTCACATCAGATGGGATACCCTCACAGCACAGGGGAAGAAGCTGTTTCTGAGTTTATTAGTTTTTGATTTGATGTTTCTGAAGCGTTAATCTGTAACAATATCTAGTATAAGTCATTTTGCCTTATGTAACTGTGGTGTAAATAATTGTATGCTGAAGTTATTGGCTTGCTACAAGAGTGATTGATTTGTAATGTTTGTATGTTACAGTTTACAATGGCTAAAGCGATGGCAGTGGTCAGAGGCCACTCTTCAATAAACAACTGAAAAGAGAAAGAGGTTTGGTTATTGGAGCGTCATTGTCTGGCTGTCTAGCCGGCTGAAAAGTTGGGAAAACTCCGGGCGAGGACAGCACAGTGATGTCAGTAACTCTGTTTTCAAAATCTGACAGCTATAAGATTGTCCCAGGATGCAAGAGTACAGCGAAAGCTTGTCCACTGCTTATGGGACTGATTTATGCCCTGAACTGTGCATACCCTCCTATTTTGTGCTACACTTTTAAAGTCCTCTAAGAACTCTTGCTGGAGATGGAGAAATTTAAACTCTACACAAAAGAAAACACCCTGAAGAAAAAAACATCTGAATATATGTGTTATACTCTAGGTTCTTCAAAGTAGCCACATTTTGCTCTGATTACTGCTTTGAACACACTCTGCATTCTCTTGATGAGCTTCAAGATGTAGTCACTTAAAATGGTTTTCACTTCACAGGTGTCCACTGTCAGGTTTAATAAGTGGACTTCTTGCCTTATAAATGGGTGGGACCCTCAGTTGTGTTGTGCAGAAGTCAGGTGGATACACAGCTGATAGTTCTACTGAATAGACTGTTAGCTGCTTTTTTTTATTGCCATAATACAAATTCTAAGTAAAGAAAAAAAATTAGCCATCATTACTTTAAGAAAGGCCAGTCAGTCTGAAAATTGGAAAAACTTTGAAAGTGTCCACAAGTACAGTGGCAAAAACCATGAAACACTACAAAGAAACTGGCTGACATGAGGACCGCCCCAGAAAGGAAGACCTAGAATCACCTCTGCTGCGGAGGATAAGTTCATCAGAGTCACCAGCTTCAGAAATTACAGGTTAACAGCACCTCAGATTAGAGAGCAGGTCAACGCCACACAGAGTTCTAGCAGCAGACACATCTCTAGAATAACTGTTAAGAGGAGACTGTGTGAATCAGGCCTTCATGGTAAAATAGCTGCTAGGAAACCACTGCTAAGGACAGCCAACAAGCAGAAGAGACTTGATTAGGCTAAAGAACACAATGAATGGACATTAAACCAGAGGAAATCTGTGCTTTGGTCCGATGAGTCCAAATTTGAAATCTTTGGTTCCAACCATCGTGTCTTTTTACGACGGAGAAAAGGTGAACGGATGGAATCTACATGCCTGGTTCCCACCGTGAAGAAAGGAGGAGGAGGTGTGATGGTGTGGGGGTGCTTTGCTGGGTTAGGGGATTTATTCAAACTTCAAGGCATACTGAACCAGCATGGCTACCACAGCATCTTGCAGCTACATGCTATTCAATCCGGTTTGGTTTAGTTGGACCATCATTTATTTTTCAACAGGACAATGACCCCAAACACACCTCCAGGCTGTGTAAGGGCTATTTGACCAAGAAGGAGAGTGATAGGGGGCTGCACCAGATGATCTGGCCTCCACAATCACCGGAACTGAACCCAATCAGGATGGTTTGGGGTGAGCTGGACCGCAGAGTGAAAGCAAAAGGGCAAACTAGTACCTCTTGAAGCTCATCAAGAGAATGCAGAGTGTGTGCAAAGCAGTAATCAGAGCAAAAGGTGGCTACTTTGAAGAACCTAGAATAAAAGATATATTTGCAGTTTCACACTTTTTTGATAATTATATAATTCCACATGTGTTAAAGCACAGTGAATTCAACATTCAAAGTGAAATATATATATATATATATATATATATATATATATATATATATATATATATATATATATTTATAGAGAGAGAGAGAGAGAGAGAGAGAGATATCTATAATTTTTTTCACCTCACTCCTGTTTGTATTGGCTGTTTTCCTAGATATATCTCTAAAAAAATTCCAGATTTTTACCGCCACAACAATGAAGTTCCTCACACAGCACTCCGTTTCATAAATGTTCCATTTATTGACTATGAGGTGGTAAAATACGCTTGATATTGCGATTAATTGTGCCATTGATGCACAGCGACATCTACTGGTCATTTAAAATACCTGTCGTGAGTGTCAAATTTACCATGTCTGTTCTGTCGCAGTTAAATCTCTCTGATGACTTTATTCCGAGTAAACCCTGTAGCTATAAAAAATATAAATATATATTACATCTAAATATATGTATATATTTATATATGTATAAGACCTGCTTTAATTTCGAACACAAGCAAAAGCTGAGGGCAGGAAATACAACGAAAGTTTCTCCATGCCATGCCTTTATTTTGAAGGGCACCGGACCGGCGGGCTTGAAAGCCACGCCCACTTCTGAAACAGAAAATTGACTGGTATTTCCGTTTTGGGGGCGAAAACGAAAAAACCAAAATCAAGCCGTTTAATGGATTTTGGTTTTATGTGCAGAAACCACAAAACGGGAAAACGAATCGTTTTCTGAGGAGAAAAAGGAGAAAACGGCCGTTTTTCTGTTTTTTCCATGTTGAATTATACCGTTTAATCAAACTGATAAAAAGTACCTTCGTCATAAACTAAGGAAAGCATTGTTTATGTATCTTAAGAATACAAAATTAAAAAATAGAATCTAATGTGAAGTAACGCTACTACACACTTATGTACAGTAGGTGGCGGTATGCACCTTAAAGTTGCTTGTGATCGCCATAATAGAAAAGAAGAAGAAGAAGAGCCGCTGGTAGGGATCGGGTAGCATTAGCAGCATTAGATTAGCTTGTGTGTCGAGTCATTGTAGAGAGGCTGATAATCTGGGAGTGTTTGCAGTGAGAATGTCTTCAGTCCAGCTTCAAGGAGAGTTTATCACCGAGCAGTTAACTCCTGCTGAAGAAACATTCACGGAGTTTAAAGGGAGTTTGGTCAATTCGGAGGAAAAGATGGACGATCAACATCTACTGCTGGATTTCACCAGGATCCCCCAGATCATCTTACACCGGATAGGTAGGAAACACCTGATAGAAACGATTCCCTGATGATGCACACTGTGGATTTTAGCCTCATCTGATTGGAAAACTGCTTAGAGGAGATCAACATGCTAAGCTAAAGCTAAGTTCTGGTCGGCGGCCATCTTACTACGGTCAGCTCGCTCTCTTCCAGCATTGGGTTTTAATGACTGCGGTTAAGTCAGTAATTTTCTCGGGTTAAACCTCTTCTTCGCTCCGAGTTCACTGCAATCTGAGGAAGCCGTCTCTACCATAGACATATATATAAGGAGAGACCCCGCATTGACTGCCGCGGCGCAGACATCACGGGCGCCATCTTGGGGAGGTCATCCTGCTGCTTTTAAGGAATAGTACACCCAAAACATGATTAGCCTTCATTTTCTACTCACCCCCATGCTGAACAAAACTCTGGAGTACTTTTTTGATATCTCAAATGCATCTGGAGATCTGGGAGGCTTCTTGCTGTCTGCTGACATTCAAATAATGGAGGTCTATGGCGCCCGAGACAGAAAGGTCCAAAAAAGTCCACAAAAACGTGTCAATATTCCTCCATACTGCTCGTCCAATGTAATCCAAGTGTCCTGAGTGGGTAGCATCCATAATTTACTCGAAACAGAGTCATTTAGAACGTTTTAGAGCCTAAACAGTAGTGTATAGGATTTGCTAATAGCGCCCCCATGCGCGCTCACGATTCTACGGAAACCGCGGCAGACCAAACCGGAAGAAAGTGCGCATTCAGCGTCTGCTCTGCCGATAATGCAAGCGTAGAAGAAGAAGTTCCGCTTTTCACCTGTTTATTTTCTGCCCTGAGCCAGGTGAGCACGAGGTCAGTCTCTCTCAGAGTTTGAAAAAGTTGTTGATTAGTGATTTTAGTCGTGAAATTAAGAAGATGGTTCGAGTGTGTTCCTATCCTGGATGCTTCAATCAGATGAAGCGGCAGTGTGGAATAACCCATTCCGTAACTTTCCACAAATTACCTCTTCGGGACCCTGAAAGGCTAAACCTGTGGCTAATAGCTCTACGAAAAGATCTAAGGACAGCTAACGTGGATTCTCTCCGTGTCTGTAGTGAACACTTTTCAGCGGATGATTTCCGAACCTGTAAAGGAAGAGCTTTATTAAAGAGTACAGCTGTGCCGATGGTGTCACAACTAAGGACAGAGGTATGTACTTTATAAACCATTTATGTAACTTACACGTTTGTATATGATCTGTATTTTTACCGGTACTTTTTTTAAAAACGTTAAAATGTTAAAACACGCTAATATTACTTGAGTAAAAATGTTAACTTCCACATCAATTTGGACAATCATGGAATTTTTTACAAGTCATGTTATTTTAGTTGCTTTGTTATCAGACGGATTTTTTTTACACTGTATGTATGTACAACCCACCTATTGACAAACACCCGCTCCACAGCTCAGTGTGACATTATATTAATTTTGTGATCAATCAATGTGATCATTGATGGCCTGCAAGTTGTTAGTGTTTAGGAGTTAATAAAAAATAAAAATCTGGATGATAATAACTAAACTTTTAGCACCCAGGGAAATACTAATGTGATCCATGATTTAAAATACATAAATAAATAAATAAAAAAGTGAAATGAATGACATTCATTGCCACATAGTCTTTCTCAGATGCTGCAACTTTTATTTGCTCATATGAAATCATAGCATGATTATTTTTTATTATTAATAATAGTGTTTGTTTCTAGGGCATTTCACAACATCCTGCTGCTGCAGTGACTGAGACAGCCAACATTGAGACTTCTTTTGATGATGTGCCACACTCCACTCCAGTTAAACCAAAACAACCTGGTGATCGACCTGAGCACTCTCATGCAAGACTGCAGCTGGTCCTAACAAGCCCTGAAACAACCAAAGAACGCACATGTCCATCCACATCTGGCAGTTATCATGCCTTCCCCCCCACAAGGTTATCTCAAACTGTAAGTACTCACCCACTGGCTGCTATGGCAAATCTAGTAGTTACAGTTTCGGCTTATGTGTGGCTTAAAGCAAGTAAATATAACTTCTCAACAAGTCTAATGGTTATTTTGTTGATTTTAGGATATGCAAGCTCAGATGGCAGAGGAACGTTTGGAGGAAGGTTTGGATGTCAGCATGACCTCAATTGGTGTTCCTCTAGACCCAAAAGACACCAGTTTTGCTCTTCCAAGCTCAACTTCAACTCCAACCTCAGAAGAAACTGAAGACTTGAGAACCTGGGATGAGAGGAAATGGCTGGTTGACGAGTCAAAATTGTTTCAGCTTTTCAAGACTTGCCATCAGTGTGGAACAGAAATCATTCAAAAAAATGTTCAGATATCTGGGAGATGTATCAAAATATTGTGGGAGTGTCTGAATCAACATAGTGATGAGTGGAGTTCCTGTCCAGATGTTAGAGGGATGCCAGAGAATAATCTACTTGTAGCAGCGTCAACTCTCTTCACTGGTGCCACGTACACAACAATTGCTGATTGGGCTGGACTGCTGAATCTCCAAATTCCCAACAATACAACATATTACAAAATACAGTCTTCATATCTAATCCCAGTCATCGACATGGTGTACAACGAGCAGCACAAGGCCATCATGGAACAGCTACTGCATAAACAGTATACTCTGAAAAAGGGAGTGCATGTATCTGGAGATGGCCGATCAGACAGGTTAGTATATTATTTATAACGAATGACAAATATTTAACTCTTGATTATCTGAAGTTATCGTTAGAGTAATTGATGTAATATTGGATTTGATAGCCTATTTATCTTTTTGTCTTTACAGCCCAGGCTTCTCCGCAAAATACAACACCTACAGCTTCATGGAGGACACAACAAAGGAAATAATCCTTTTTCAGTTAGTGCAGGTAAGGGAAATTATTATTTCATATTTCATATTACAACATAATATGAGAACAATTGTCAATTGTGTGTTTACAAATGGACTGCACAAAGATACATATGCATATATTTTGTAGTTTTATTTGGATTTTGGTCATTCTAATTGGCAAATAATAATTGTGAAGCGGAAGACTGTGATCTATGTATATGTTTTTTTTTTAAAGGGTGGGATTGAATTTGGTTTTGTACTTAATCCCACTTGTTTTCGTTCTTCAATTTGATAAATGTAGCCTACATTATTTTTTAAATTTCTATATTTATCTATTTTCAGTTTTCTTTTTTTATTGTATCTTTTTTTTAATATTATTATTATCTATTGTATTTATTATCAATTTTGGTGCATTTATTATATTGTTTTTCTTCCTTTTTTTTGGGGTAATGTTTCTCATTTTCATCATGTGCGGAATGAAATTAAAGAAGTAAATGTATTTCTAATATGTGGAACATATTACAAAATCAATGTTGCTATCGGATTATGACAAGCACTGTCCCATCAAAGATGTATGAAAATGATTTTAAACATTAATTTTTTGTTTTGTGGTACAGGTGACAGAGGCATCCAGCTCTGCTGCCATGGAGCCAGTGGGGTTCAGGAGAGGACTTGATTATCTCCTTGAGCAAGGTCTTGAAGTGGAGGTGGTAACCACTGACCGATCACCATCTATACGAAAAATTATGCGCGAAGAGTATCCGGAAATCCACCATGAGTTTGACATCTGGCATGTTGTCAAGGGTAAGCTGACAAATTGTAATTTGTAAATGTACAATGGTAAAGGAATTACTATAATGAGGAAAATGTTTTTACAATATACTTTGGATAGCCCTTGTACAGCCACATAAACTTTTACATAATTTACCCCTCCCTTGCCAAAGCGCTGGCACCTGCCTAGGTTATACACAGCCCCATTGTGATCCCACACTCCTCTATTACCTGCTCCCACCTTGTACTTCATACCCACCAAGACTATGTTGACGTCACCCATGTGCAGAAGTGCAGTCTGTTTGGACTGTACATCTCCAATCACCTACACTCTCTGAGCCCTGAGCTCCCCATTGTCGTTAAAATTAAATTAAACTAGAAAAAGCTGTTTCGGAGAAACATCAAAGTGGGAATGCTTTTGCTGAATGAAAAAAGCTGAAATTACCTGCATAACATATGAAAATGTGATAGGAAGTCATCAGAAACTTCAAACTGCCGAAAACAATTGAATCATCTGAAGATTTTGTAGGGTAGAATCATTTGGCAGTAAAATGGCAGAAACAAACTCATCTTAAAAGCTGCACAGCCAAACCATACATGATATCAAAAAATGTCTTGAATGTGGGCACTAGAAGGGTCTTAATATAATGTCTCCCAAGTTTCTAGAAAAATGTATAAAGAAATTTTGAAGGGGGGTTTACCTACTTTCCAGAAACATGTCAGGCGTGTTATGAATTAGCAGCAAACAGAAAAGCTTAATTCCTGTCCAGAAGCAGAGCAGAATGAACCCAAAGTTCACAACATAGGCTGAAAAATATTAAATTAGCTGAAGTAGAAAAGAAATTACAAAGAAAAACTTTAATCTTATCTGGTTGAAGAAAAAATTAGTAGCTTAAGGATGGGATGTAAAATGTTGAGGACGATGGTATTGAATAAGTATTAACATTTTAAAATCATATGTGGAAATGTCAAGACTTGGCAAAACAATTGGAAAATTATTTAAAATGTGTCGGTTGATCAGCATAAAGAAAACAGCGTCATCCTTAGAGGATTGAAAATCTACAAACCTATGTGCAAGACTGACCATGAGAAGCAGAGGAAGGACAGATAGAGAAGCTTATAGAAAGAGAGCTAATACCACTTAAGGAGCTGAATTTATAAAAAAATTGAACCTGCATGTTACGAGCCGCTGTGGTAATGAAAACACTGTTGGCAGGCTTAGGCTGCATGTTACATGGTTAGCAGATGCTTTATTACAGTGTAAATCTTAGAACCTGATTAAGAAATATGCACTGAGGTGTGTGGTCAACAGGCCTTGGTAGTGTAATTTGAAGAAATTGGTTGAATTTGGGTCATAGCTACAAGCCATATGGCACAATGAATGAGTGTGTGTAAGGAAGAGGCTTTTATTTTGTAGAGTCCCTTTAGTCTTATTTTGAAAGTCTATCATGGATGTGTGTCAAGGGAAGGGTCATGCCCTGCAGTGATATAGAATCCATTTCTAAATATGAAATCACTGGTTTTCCATGTTATTGGGTGAATAGATGCTGTATTAGAGCGTAAATGGGAGACTTTTATTATGAAATTCACTCTGGGGTATGTTTTGAAAAGGTCCCTAGAGTCTAATAGAAACAAACTGGTAGAGTTTGGGTCATAATGCTGTGCCATTTGCATCAATTAATAGGCGAGTATAATATAGAGGCTTTTATTGTGTAGGGTCACTCTTATTTTGAAAGTCTAGCAGGGTTGGGTGTTGAGAAAAGGGTCAGACCCAGCAGTGATACTTGATGACTTTCCAATCATTAAATCACTCTTTTCCCTTGTTATTAGGGCAGTAGATGAAGTGGCAATGGGAGGCTTTTATTTTGAAATTTGCTGTGGGGTGTGTTTTGAAAACCCCCTAGAGTCTCATTTTTAAAAAAGTGGTTGAGTTTGGGTCATAATCTTGAGCCATATGCTGGGAAAAAAATATGAGTTTAATTTAGGGGCTTTTATTTTGAAGGGTCCACAGAGTCTTATTTTGAAAGTCCATCAGGGTTGCGTGTGAAGGGAAGGGTCATGGCCAGTAGTCATATTGTATCCACTTCCTAATGTTAAATCAGTGTTGTCTCCCTCCATTAGATTAAAATGTGCTGTTTAAAGTGGTGGAGGTAAAATCTCTTTGAAGCACGGTTACCTTGACGACGTTAACGAGCCTGTCAGTGAGAGAGAGAAACGCGCTTCACTTTCATTCCTTAGTTCTCAGGCTTTTTTGAATGGGATTATCAGCTCCGAACAAACGAGTGCTGAAGACAAACCGTAAATGGTATCTAAAAAATTCTTTCAGTCTAAGCGACATCTATCCTTTGTCTCCAATTGGGGTAACTTTCATGGCTGTAGCTCATTCACAACCTTAATGGGAAGGAGGAATAAAAAGGTTTGAGAAATCCTGCTGGTCTCATTGAATAACATGGAGTTCCACGGTAGAGCAGAACTCTCAAAAGCAAAACTTTCCCTCCGAACAAACGACCAGTGAGCCAAAACCGTAATAGGTATTCAAAAAATTCTTTCACCGTGAGCATCAGCCATCTTTGGACTACAACTGGTGTAACTTTCATATTTCTACAATATTTGGTCTAGGCGTGGTGACGATGTAAAAAAGTGTATAATTGTCAAAATCTTGATTTTGAGGTTCGGACAGATTTGTTACCCCCGAACAAACCTTTTTCCTAGCTAAACGATAAAAGATATCGACACACTTCCTTCAATGTGAGTGCTAGGAAGGTCTGAGGAACAACTTCAGCAAGGCTCATGTTGCTACATCGAACGGTGCCCAAATGGGAGCGATACGAAAAAGTCTGTTGTTTTGAATTTTCAGTTCGGATTTTCAGAGAGCTCTCATTGGATTTCTATTGGGGAAGTGTGGACTTCTTCGTGGTCTGGGCCAAACTGTCGGAAAACCGTAAATGCCACACAGATGAGAGTTACATTTCCTGAATCCTGACAAAAATCCCTACGTTTTGATGTAAAATTTTTCTAGATAGAGTAAAAAATGAGCGAGTGAGTTGAAGCTGTTCGGCATGAGTGAAATGTTTGAAAACGCTAGAGTGGCACACTCTAGCTGCTGAACATTCCGTCCATAGACTTCCATTATAAATTTAAAAAATCTGAAAAAAAATTGTTTAAAATTTTTAAAAAGCTTCATGAAGCAAAACTTTTTAAAAGTTAGTAAAAAGCCAAAGGTTAAACGAAATTAGCGAAAAACGGAAACTTTTTTAAAAGTTGAAGGGTTTTTTCTACCCGGGAAAGTATGTGGGTAGTTAAAAGGGGCAAAGTAGTGAAGTTTTAAGGGGAAATTTTTTTTGAATTTTAAAAATGTTTTTAAAGGGCCCAAAAAAAAGTCAAAAAAAGCAAAATTTTTTTAAAAAAGTAAAATAGTAAGTTCCCAAAAAAGTCAAAAGACAAAACCCAGAAGAAGCTAAACGTTTTGATCCCCAAATTTTTTGGGAAAATCGGATGAAGTTTTGAAGGGGGGTTGTTTGAGTCCAAAAACGAAAGGTAAGGGGAAATAAAAATTTAAAAATAATAACAAAAAAAGCTTTTTTGCAGAAACAGCAAAGTGGGAATTTTTTTTTGCTGAAAAAATAAAAAAAATTTTGCAAAGAAACTCCCAAGAAGGAAAAAAAGCACAAATTAACTGAGGAAATTTGAACATGTGATAGGAATCTTCAGAAACTTAAAACGCAGAAAACATTTGAATCATCTGAGTTTTTGTAGGGTAGAAACCCTTTTGGGCAAAAAGGCAAAAGGAAAAACCCAGACT